TACAGTACATACATTATCTCATTACCTTCAACATTCACACTCCAGCCAAAAGCTCGGACCCGCCTGACTGCATGTTTTTACAATCCTTAAAGGTGCTTCAGTCTGAGTGTTTTGCTCCAATGCTTCAAATTTGTGTCCAAAACAAAAACAAACACACACACACACACACACACACACACACACACACGCACACACACACACACACACACACATCTTCTATGCCACTTATCCTTCTAGTTCATGGGGACAAAAACAGACAAAACAAAACATCTAAATATAACACATATTTTTAAACAGCAATTCCACCCAATTCTCCAAATTTCTTTTGGTTGAGATGTAAATAGAGTCATTGAGAGTGAATTGGTGTGAAATGGTTGATTGTAAAGACTCAGATGTCTTTACAGTGGTGGTGATAGGAACCAGGGGTCACCAATTATGACCATATGCAAATTCCCCTGGTCAAATTCCATGTTTTGGTTAATTTGAGTGGCGCATTCTCTACAGAAAACATACTTCTGCTCGTTTTAATGCACAATAACTGCTTATTTGTTGAACTTAATTGGTCGCACTGAAGAGATCAGTGAGTTTAAACACGGCACTGTCATAGGATGCCACCTCTGCCACAAGTCAGTTCATGAATTTTCTGCCCTGCTAGATCTGCCCCTGTCAACTGTAAGCAACGACAGCTTACCCACGAAGGAGAAGACCACACAAACTCACAGAGTGGGGCTGCCGAGTGCCGAAGTGCACAGTGCCGATACTACGATCTTTCAGATTTCTCAGTCTGTGCATGGGTGAAAACAGACGCCGGTATTGGAAATAAGTGAGCAGCTTTGCCACAAGATGGCAGCAAAAAACTTTTGGAGCAACGCTGAAACCAACTACATACTTGACGAAATGAAGGATTTAAATATTCATCATCTTCTAGATGATGTGTGTTCATATTTTCAGGTAAAGTGGCGCGATGATTTTTAAAAAAGCCACGGCATCAAGTTTCAGTTTTACGTTACGTTTACATCACGTCTTCTTCTGTGAGTTTATTGGCTGGTTACAAAGCAGAAATCTGATTACTGTCTGACTCATGTAGACCCGAAGTTTTCCATTATCGATTAGCTAATTATAAGGTTATTGAAAATGTAATGATGGGTAATATTGATGTCTCCAAACTCAAATGACGTGTTTTGTTGAAGTGATAAGTTAATACATCTCCAAAGAACAAAATTTAACACAATGTATACATTTTAATTATTGTTTATTTGCTGAATTTAATATATTGGGAAAGAATATTGGCCTGCATGAAATGTGGCCTGTGCAAAAGTTATGGCACATTTTATGGTTTAGGTTTTATTTTTTATTTTTTTGCAATATGTTAAAAAACAGAAATTGTATACTGATTTTTGCAAACTTTTCCAAACAACTGCATATGCATATCAGTGAGTTAAAGGACCATTGTACCTTTGGAAATAAAATCTGTCAAAATAAAACCAGCAACATCTGGAAAAACACTGTTGTTTGAAGTTTGAGAAGTTAAACATCACTGACTGAAGAACTTTGACTAATCAGTTGAGCAAACCCACCAGTCTAACAAACACAGTGTCAGAGTTGATGTACGTGTTCTGTTGTGCAGACAGTGCCGGAGGTCGAGCAGAGTAACAGCAGGCTGGCACTGCTGATCAGCCTGAGTGCTGTTTGAGTGCAGTGGAAACAATGGCACTCGACCCATCAGCCCTGCAGCTAGGAATGAAGAATAAAACAGTGAGGGAATGCAATAAAGACCAAATGCCGCTCCCACATTCCAATCACACTTCAGTCACTCTGCTTCCACAATCCGCTCACGCTGAACATCAGTATTTCTCTGATTTTATGAGCTGCAGTTTCTTTCCTCCGCTCTGAGAAGAATTTACAACCAATCACATGAGATGTAAGACAAGCTATGTCTGTTAATACAGTCCTGCAAGTGTGCATGTGGGAATTCTTTGAAATTTGCTATTGAGGTTCTATAAACGAAGATAAATCCTGTAGTGTTCAGCAAAGTCTGACTGACATGTAGGTAAAACCGTTCCTCAATGTGCTTCAGTTTAAAAGGGAATTCCACTGATTGGTCAAAATTTCAGCATAACGTGCATCACATGCTAATTTCCTAACACAGTAAAATGACACCTGGTCTATCCTATGTAGGGAAGTACATGCAGGGTGTTGCAAGGAAAATGTGATTCAAAAATAAAATATGATACTAAAAAATTATTATTTTATGAACACTCAGATCATACATGCAGCTTCAGTGTTTGTATGGATAACAAATTATGTCTATTCTTGTATTGTAGACTATACCGGCAGAGGAGTCACTGTTCTAGATGCCACTGCAGGTGCTGCAGAGTCACTGCTTTAGACTCCCCTGTATGTGTTCTAGATCCCCTGCGTGTGCGTCAGTCCTCTAGATCCCCCTGCAGGTGATGCGGTGCAGTAGATTCCCCTGAAAGTACATCAGTCCTCTAGATTGCCTTGCAGAGCAGTCTGTGTTTCAGATTCCACTGCAGGTGAGTTGCTGTTCTAGATTCCCTGCAGGTGAGTTGCTATTCTAGATCCCTCCACATGTGAATATGCACTGGAGTATCCTACATACCCTGCAGGCGTGTTGGTCCAAAGAAACCACTACAGTGTTAGATCCCCCCATATAAGTGACTGTTCTAGACTTTCCTGCAGTTTAGAGTGTTCTACAAACCCCTGCAGGTGAACCCAGTATTGTGGATTCATCTGCAGGTGAATCAAAGAAAGAAAAATGAGTGTTCTAGGCTCCTTGATGAGTGACTGACTGTACTTGATGCTCTTGCCGGTCAATGAGTGTTCTAGATCCCCCTCCCAGATACGTGAGTGTTCTAGACCTACAGTCAGGTTCCTGTTCTAGATCCCCCTGCAGGAGCATGAGTGTTCTAGATCCCCCCGTGAGTGAGTTGCTATTCTAGGTCCCTTGCAGGTGAGTGAGTGTTCAATGTTCCCTTGCAGTTGAGTGTTCTAGATCCCCTTCAGTTAGTGTGTTAGATTACGCTCAGATGAAGCAGTGCTGTTGATTACGTGTTCCCCACTCACCTGAAGGTGAGTTAATGTTCTACCCCCTCCCCCTGCAGACGATGCAGTGCAGTAGATTTCCCTAGAAGTGCATTGGTCCTTAAGATTGCCTTGCAGAGCAGTCTGTGTTTTAGATTCCCCTGCAGATGAGTTGCTGTTCTAGATTCCCTGCAGGTGAGTTGCTGTTCTAGATTCCCTGCAGATAGTTACTATTCTAGAGCCCCCCCACATATGAGTGTATACTAGATCCCCCTGCATATGAGTGAGTATCCTACATACCCTGCTGGTGTGCTGGTCCTCAAGGTACCACTACAGTGTTCTAGACCCTGCAGATACGTGACTTTTCTAGACTTCCCTGCAGTTTAGAGTGATGTAGTAACTCCTGCAGGCACACCCAGTATTGCAGATTCCCCTGCAATCAGTTTGGATAAATGAGTGTTGAGATTCCTTTATGAGTAACTGACTGTACTTGATACCCTTGAAGGTCTATAAGTATTCTAGATCCCCCTCCCAGATCAGTGAGGTTTTCTAGACATACAGGTGTGTTGCTGTTCTAGACCTCCTACAGGAGCATGAGTGTTTTAGATCCCCCTGTGAGTGAGTTGCTATTCTAGGTCCCTTACAGGCGAGTGAGTGTTCAGGGTTCCTCAGCAGGTGAGTGAGTGTTCTCAATCCCCTGCAGTTAGTGTTCTAGATTACCCTCAGGTAATGCAGTGCACTTATTTAAGTGTTCCTCACTCACCTGAAGGAGTTAGTGTTCTACATTCCCCTGTAGGTGATGCTGTGCAGTAGATTCCCCTGTAAGTGTTTCAGTCCTCTAGCATGCCTTGCAGAGAAGTCTGTGTGCAGTTCCCCTGCAGGTGAGTTTCTGTTCTGGATTCTCTGCAGGTGAGTTGCTGATCTAGATTACCTGCAGTTGAGTTGCTACTCTAGATCCCTGTCCACCTGTGAGTGTATAGTAGATCTTCCTGCAGATGTGTGAGTATTTTATATACCCTGCAGGTGTGTTGGTCCTCAAGATATCACTACAGTGTTCTAAGTGTTCTAGATTACCCTGCAGTTTAGAGTGTTTTAGAAACCCCTGCAGGCGAACCTAGTATTGCAGATTCCCTCGCAGGAAAATCAGTTTAGAAAAATGAGTGTTCTAGGTTCCTTGATGAGTGACGGACTGTACTTGATGCCCTTGCCGGTCAATGAGTTTTCTAGACCCCCTCCCAGATAAGTGAGTGTTCTAGACCTACAGTCAGGTTACTATTCTAGATCGCCCTGCAGGAGCATGAGTGTTCTAGACCCCGCATGAGTGAATTGCTATTCTAGGTTCCTTGATGAGTGACTGACTGTACTTGATGCCCTTGCCGGTCAATGAGTGTTCTAGATCCCCCTCCCAGATAAGTGAGTGTTCTAGACCTACAGTCAGGTTCCTGTTCTAGATCCCCCTGCAGGAGCATGAGTGTTCTAGATCCCCCTGTTGCTATTCTAGGTCCCTTGCAGGTGAGTGAGTGTTCAATGTCCCCCTGTAGTTTAGAGTATTCTAGAATGCAGATGAATCAGTTTAGATGAACGAGTGTCTTACACTCCTCTACCGGTAAGTCAGTATTCTAGACCCTCCACCAAATGAGTGATTGTTCCAGATTTCCTTATAGGTGAGTTGCTATTTTAGATCTCCTTTCGGACAAATAGTGTTCTAGATTACCCTTGCAGATGAGTTGCTGTTCTAGGTTCTTCTTCAGGTGAGTAGGTGTTCTAGATACACCACAGGCAAGTTGCTGTTCTGTATCCTTAAGACGTACATTGTAAAGAAATCTAAGTTAATAAGTTTCTCTAGAATGGATCATTTTTCCTCAAAATACTCTGCATGACTTTGTGGATTATGATGAAGTTTTAAAAAATCAGCAGAATTTCCTTCTAAGATCTCAGATGACAGTAATTATTAAGGCGAGTGAGACAGTGAGTTTTCAGTGAGATGACATTCAGCTGGATTTAAAGGAGCAGATCCAGAGGTTTGGAGGATAACTGGCCACTGCACACATGACTCTGCGTGCCTGTGTAAAATAAAATCTCTGTATATTAAATAACTGAAAATAAAAACAATATAAAAATAAGGCCACAAAGGAGTGCCTTTACATATAGCTCACACTTCTTTATGAAACCATACGCTACCCTAAAGAAGAAAGATCTGATGTACATAGTTCTTATATTCAAAGTGCTTTCGAAAGAATATACTGGAGACATTCCTTAGTCCGTTAGTAGTCGTTGTGTTATTAAAATGCTTATAAATAGGAGTCTTTGTTCTTTGTCCTGATAATGCACATTCCTCAGGTTATCACAACAAATATCCCTTTTCCCTTTAAAGTCTGCTTGTTTTTTTAAACCATAAGTGTTTGCACAAAAGGCACAGAGGCAAGTCTCTTTTGAAGCTCAGCAGAACCACAGCACTAGCAATGACCTTAATGTGTGTCCCCTACGATCCTCTGGAACTTTACTTGCTGCAAAGAACGAGAGCACAGTTTGTCCTCCTGGCCGAAGAGATTAAAATAACCCAATCGTCCACTCAAAGCTACCGAAATCACCCCACCATATGCCGAGGATCTAAAGAGATATTGTGGAGAGAGATGTTCTTTCCCTACATTTAATAAGAGCCTCAAATTCAATATTCTGTGCTCTAGATTTCCAGTAAGTGTTTCTAGATCCCACCTGTATGTGAGTCAATGCAGGTGAGTGAATGTTCTAGATTGCTATGCAGGTGAGTCATCATTCTGGATCCCCTTGCAGGCGAGGCAATGCAGGTGGGTCAATGTTCTAGATCCCCCTGCAGATGAATCAGTTGTTTAGATTCCTCAATGGGTATGTCACTGTTCTACATTCCCCTGCCTTTGAGTCAGTGTTCTAGATCCTCTGCAGGTCAGTTGCTGTTTTCTATACCCCTACATATGAGTGAGCGTCCTAGGTTCCTCTGCAGGTTACTCAGTGTTCTTATTTCTCATGTAGGTGAGTTGCTCCTATGTAGGAGAGTAAGCGTTCTAGAAGCAACTGTTCTGGATTCCCCTGCAATTTAGCCAGTGTGGGTGAGCTGATGCTTTAGATCCCCCTGCAGGTGACTCGGAGTTCTAGGTTGCTCTTCAGGTTGGGTTTGTTCTACATTTCCTTGCAGGTGAGTAGGTGATCTAGATTGTCCTGCAGGAGACATCAGTTTCTAGATTTCCCTGTGGGTGAGTCAGTGCTCCACATCACTCTGCACTCTAAATCAGTGTTCTCGATAACCCTGGCAGGTGAATCGGGGGATCTTCCTGCAGGTGAGTCACTGTTGTAGATTCCCCTGCAAGTGAGTCGGTGTTCTAGATTCTCCTGCAAGTCAGTTAGCGTTGTGGATCCCTCTGTAAGTGAGTCGGTGTTCTAGATCCCTCTGCAGGTGAGTCAGTGTTGTAGATCCCTCTGCAGGTGAGTCAGTGTTCTAGATTCTCCTGCAGGGGAGCCAGTGTTCTAGATCCCAACACAGGCAAGTTGGTGTTCTAGATTCTCCTGGCAGGTGTATTGGTCTCTACACTGCACTGCAGTTAAGTCTGTGTTCTAGGTGCCCCTGCAGAGGAATCAGTGTGTTAGATCCCCCTGTAGGTAAGTGATCAGTGTTCTAGAGCATGTGCTGCCCACTAGAGGCAAAGGCTGAGCTCCTTGCGGACAGAGCACTTCTTGCACTGCACCACGCAGCACCAGTGGAACCGGCAAAGGCAGTTTTCCTCCAGCTCCACGGTCTCGAAGCGGTGGCCTCGCTCACAGCACAGCAGGTCGCAGCCACTCACGTCCAGTGCAGTGCTGTTACAGGTGCGGCCGCGAGTCCCCAGAGAACCCGTCTTCCTGTTCGGGAGGCAGAAGTCTGGAGACTCAGCTGAGTAGATCAGGTCCTGCTTGTCTGGGGGTTTAATATTCTGGCCCACAGGGATGAGAGTCTTCCCATCGTTCCCCCCCATCACCTTGGAGCAGAGTAGCAAGATGTGGACATATTACTATTCAACATTTTAAGTGCCATACTGTGATTATATTTCTACACTCTCAAAAATAAAGGTACTAAACTGTCTCTGGGTCAGTGCCCCTCTTGTCTCTGGGGTGGGACCCTCAAGGGTCCATCTCAGTGCTTTTAGTCAGGGAACATAACTGAACCATAATCCACTGAAATGATATGTTCTAAGCTGTACTGACTCCACACACCCCGTCTCGTCTCCAGGCTTTTATTTTACTGTTCTGTTTAAAACATTCGGTTATGAAAAGGTACAAATACGAACTTTTCACCTGGAAAAACTTACTTAAGGTTCACAATCAGACCTTAAAACCACTGTTGTACCTTTGAGGGAACATTTACATTGTTTGTACCTTGATGAATGAAAAACGTACCTGAACAGAACCTTTATTTCTAACACTGTACATCTTGTGACATGTTTTATGTAATGTTAGCAAAAATCCCATTCAGCCTAAAGAGAAATTTTAGTGTATAACTAATTTTTTGTTAAAAATGCCTAAATGCATAATTAATTTAGAGTGGAACGAACTCCCACTGGCTGTCCGTACAACAGAGTCTCTCGGGGTCTTCAAACACAGACTGAAGACACATCTGTTTATACAGCACTTAAATGAGCACTGAATTAAGTTGTGACAACCCCAGGTTGAATCCCAAATGCCTTAAGTGCTCCCTAAGTAGTGTGCTAGCTATGGAGGTTTTGAAATTCTAGCTTTTACAGCCAAATAGTGCACTGTTTGTCAAATATGGATGTGGCTGAATCCCAAATGATTTTTTTGGACTATTTTTCATAAACATTTTTTAGGTCATTATGCAATGTTGTGCTGCAGGATCCAGTATTTAAATACCTATGTAGTGCACTATGTAGGTAACAGGGCACCATTTGAGATTCAGCCCCAGTGTGAGAAGACTTGTGGTGCTAATTTATCATATGTTCATTATTATACGACAAAAAGTTAAAAAGTTCATGAAATGACCACAATATACAGCGATGGGTGACTGAGCATTCTTCTCCTCATTCAGCGGTCCATGGTTGCTTGTCAAGATACCATGTGCTAAAGGAACTACATTTTTTGCCAAAATATTTATGTTGATTAATATTAATAATATAATTTTTTTCTAAGAAAATGTGTATTTTATCATATTTTATGTTGGCCACTGTTTCATTATAGCAATAAGCCACTTGAGGATGTGCAATACTGCGATTTTATCATGGGGAAGGAAGTTTTAATCCACTTTGCATCGTGCCTAAGAACACCCTTCCCTGTGGTAAAATCACAGTAATGCACAGCCTATCGTGGCTTATTATTTTATTATACTTACCTTTATTTAACCAGGAGGGAGATTTAAGTGAGATTTAAAATCTGTTTTACAGGGGTATCCCGGCCAAAACAGGCAGCAACACATAAACACATACTGCGATGGTGATTAACTAATGGCATATTGTTTCGGTCCCTCACCTTGAAGGCGCCGTTGAAGCGCTCGAGCAGCCGGTCGCCGACCTCTCGGAAATGAGGCATCTTCTTCCAGCAGGTCCTCAGAGTGCAGGAACCAGACAGCCCGTGGCATTTGCATTCAGTTCTCATATAATTCTTCACCGCCTGCAGTTCGACACACAGATAGATTGGAGAGATAAAAGGCGACGCTATTCAGAAGGAATTCACCCTCCTCCTCCTGCTCCCTTCTTCGTGCCCTGCAGCCATGCTGGAGCTTATAGAGACTGACAGTGAAGAGCGTTCCAGAATGTTCCCTATGGTAATTAACCTCTGATTAACGCTCCATCAACATTTCTATCCCCTCCGATTAAAGGCGCTTTAGTTGTGCATCTGAAAAGAACATCATTACATATAATTATCATTTCAAAAAGTTCAAATCCACCCGCTCTTCTCCGCCCTGCCCACACGCACACCTGTTTACCTGCAGCTGACCCCAAACTGAAGAAGCTTGGGGTCAGGAGACAGTGACCTGAACTAATGCAGATTAATGCATGCACACATGAGCTAATGTCAGACTAGCAGGGGAGGAATTTAACTGCTCATACTCTATAGCACACTGCTTTAGCTATGCTACTGATTCTGGGTGCTCAAAAAAGTCAATAATGTTTTAAATATAATTCGTCTTGCACTCTTATAATACAGGATGAACCCAAAAGTGCTGAGCAATGCCGGAGTGGGAGAGTCGGGGGGATTCCCGGTGGGCCAGTAGCGTTTTGGGCCGGTTACTGTGAGCTTATGCAAATAAGCAGGCACACTGTAAATGTTACACCTAAGTGTACATCTGTAATAATTTAGGGGTTAAACCAGCAGCCCACAGGTGGTGCAGCTTTGGTTTGGTGCAGTTCCCATTCCACCTTAAATGATGTAGTGGTTACATTCAGACACCTGTATGGGGCTACTGTATAATTGCTGCACTATTTAAAGTGGAATGGGAACTCGAATAAGAAGCCTCAAGAGATTAACAAATCAAATTCAGTGTGAATCTGGTGTTGGCTGACACAGCAGGCAGCTCTACAGAGTTCAGTACTGATTCTGCTTTAACTATGTAGCAATTTTCATAGGTGAAACTTATAAATATGGAGAGCAGCAGCAAGAACGGCAAAAAAACAAGGCGGCACCGAAAAGACAAGAATGCAAAAGGTACTTGAGGATGATGACATATCCGAGCAGGTGGGTAGTGAGAAATGCTGTGCTTAACTTACTTAGCTAGCATTAGTTTACAGCACGTTGACTGTCACAATTTTGTCACATTTAAGGCCAAAGTTTTAATTTTATCACTAGTGAGCCACTTTGGTTATCTCAATGTAGCATATAAAAAATAAAAGAGTAAGAAATGAAAAAGATGATGTTTTTAACACAAAGGCATTGCAGTGTGTTTGTGTGTGTAGCAGGAGAACTACAGTTAGAGTTTACTATGTGCTGAGTTGATGCATCCTCATGCTTTTTTCCCCACCTTAACCCTATGGAACCGAGTGTCTCGCTGCCGATCCATTCTGAGGATTTGCCGATGGCTCCTTAAACGTGTTTAAATCTGCCACCAGAGGAGATACAGCATGTGCATGTCCATGTTAGCAGCAGTGAAATAGATCAGTGTGTGGAATCAGTGTGCTGCTGTGTTTACAGCAGGTGACTCCTGCTTTAAAGTCTCCCCACAGAGCACCTTCACTATATCAACGAAAAACTCACTTGTGCAGATTCAGCAGTCTGGCTTTTCTCCACAAGGGGGAGCACTGAACAAGAAGAAACAAGCAGCAGACCATGAACCCACACCAGCAAGAGGCTCACGAAAGCAATATGTGATTTACACTAAGGAGTTACATTAAATCAGTTAACTCTTATACAACGTACACCGATCAGGCATAACGTTCTGACCACCTCCTTGTTTCTACGCTCATTGTCCATTTGATCAGCTCCACTTACTATATAGGTGCACTTTGTAGTTCTACAGTTACAGACTGTAGTCCATCTGTTTCTCTGATACTTTGTTAGCCCCCTTTTATCCTGTTCTTCAGTGGTCAGGACCCCCATTGACCCCCACAGAGCAGGTACTATTTGGGTGGTGGATCATTCTCAGCACTGCAGTAACACTGATGTGGTGGTGTGTTAGTGTGTGTTGTGCTGGAACGAGTGGATCAGACACAGCAGTGCTGCTGGAGGTTTTTAAACACTGTGTCCACTCACTGTCCACTCTATTAGACACTCCTACCTTGTCAGTCCACCTTGTAGATGTAAAGTCAGAGACGACAGCTCATCTGCTGCTGCACAGTTTGTGTTGGTCATCCTCTAGTCCTTAATGAGTGGTCACAGGACGCTGCCCACAGGACGCGGTTGGATGGATAATTTGGGTTGGTGGACTATTCTCAGTCCAGCAGTGACACTGAGGTGTTTAAAAACTCCAGCAGCACTGCTGTGTCTGATCCACTCGTACCAGCACAACACACACTAACACACCACCACCACGTCAATGTTACTGCAGTGCTGAGAATGACCCACCACCCAAATAGTATCTGCTCTGTGGGGGTCCATGGGGGTCCTGACCACTGAAGAACAGGGTAAAAGGGGGCTAACAAAGTATCAGAGAAACAGATGGACTACAGTCTGTAACTGTAGAACTACAAAGTGCACCTATATAGTAAGTGGAGCTGATAAAATGGACAATGAGTGTAGAAACAAGGAGGTGGTCAGAATGTTATGCCTGATCCGTGTATAAGACCATGCATGTTTGCAGGAAGCTGGGGTGGGATATAATCAGTAATGTGGATATTTGAACAAGAAATGTACAAGACCTATGTATAACAAACACACACACACACACACAGATACAAACTCATACATACACAAACACTTATACACACAGGCACACACACCTTTATTTGTTGTTTTTGGGAGAACGGTCTGTAAAGCAGCCTGTGTGCAGACAGATCAGCATGGTTTTGTTGACAAGTGAGGAACTTTGAGTTTTGTTTACTGATTTATATGAAAGGCAGAAGATAAGATGAGAAACTCCTGGATGTGAACTACTTTTGTAAAAGGTTGTGAACTTTTTTTTTTTGGTACTGATTAAACATAATAAATAAATAAATAAAAATATGGGGGGAAACAACATACTTCTTAACTTTTACTTGGTGATTTTTTTTACCCCCCAAAAAAAGAAGAAGATCTGAAGAAAAAATTGTCAGCTTGTTTTTCAATAATAAAAAAAAGAATAGGAAGAAAATACAAATGTTGTGAACATTTTACTTAGTAAAGATATTAGGAAAAAACTCATATGTTGTAAACCGTTTTAGTTACTAATAAATAAAAAATAAATAAATAAATAAATAAAGTCATATGATAAACAATAAAAAATCAAATAATGGGCTGAGGAAAAACAGGCTTGCAAACTTTTTGAAACTCATTTACAAAAAAAGATATTTACTAACATAAAAACAGACATTAGGATAAATGTTATGGTTCTGAACTGTTTATTTTAATGTGATTAAAAAAATAAATAAATGAAGACATGAGGGAAAACTCCAAGCTTTCAAACTTTTGTTTCCTATTTTACAAAAAAATGATTATTCACTGGCATGAAAAAAGAAATGAGGGGAACTCCACGCTTATGAACCAACAGCATACTGAGTTACAGAAAACACAAAGGAAGAAGAAAAAGGAAGGATGTGAAGGAAGACTCCATGCTCGCTAAAATTTGTTTTGGAATAAAAAGATGTGAGAGAAAACATGATGTTTGCAAACTTTTTACTCCAAAAAGTTTCACTTTCGACAGTCAGATATGAGGGAAAACTCTGCGCTTGCTCGTTTAGTGATATCCTGAAAAAAAGAAGAAGAAAAAAGGAGAGATATGAGGGAAAGTCCAGGCTTATGAACTTGTCTCAGCTCAGTCGAGTGTGCCAGTTTGTGCCAAGCGTGACTCCGTAACAGATCTGAGCTCCATCTTGTGCCTCAGAAGTGTTCTATCTGCTCATTATAGCCTGACTATCTGTGAGCATCACTGAAACACCCAGCATCCACCTGGAGAACTCAGTGGCCGTGTAAAAACAGTCCCGCTCTGCTCCGAGCCCGCCGAGTCTAACGTTACAGCGGGAAAGGAGGGGCTGAGTCTGTGTTTAGACAGAAATCATCACCTGATTGTTTTTACCTTCTTCAACACTTCAGCAGATCTTTTAGCACAAACACATGAAATCTGATCTTCTGAGTTCCGATCTGGACCACATTCGTGATGCTTTTCAGCGAATGATCACGCGCCAGTAGCTTGTACAAATAAACTAACAGCAATGGGTACAAAAACATGCTGTGTTACTACAGTCTGTCTGTGCAAAGACAATGTGTTGATACATTTTAATTTAATCTTCCAGCTTAAAGGAATAGTTGGGCGAAAGGCTGGAGCTCTTCGTAGCTGCCAGCCGAGACATGTTTGGTGTCTAGTTTGCATCTTTAGCTTTACACTGGAGCTACAAAATTTGGCCATGTTTATAGATAACAGCGACTCATACAGCATCTGAAACAACATGAGCAAGTCGATTAGAGATTATTTACAGGGGAATTTTTCAATATTTCTGCATAATTCAGTGTGTGAGATGTAAACAGAGTGATTCAGAGTGGTTTGGTGTGAAATGGTTCAGATGTCTGTACAGTGCTGGTGATAGGAACCAGGGGTCGCCATGACTACAACACAAATATAGACATTTTATTTACCACCAGTGAACCTACACGAGTCTTCTGAGTTTATATGGAATGTTGATGATGGAAAATAGTGGAGAATATGGAAGAAAAAAGTTTTCTATTTACTATTACTAAGTTACTATTTTGCCTCACAACATGATGCATGTAAAGAGAAGACGACATAGGAGAAGAGAAGAGAGGAGAGGAAAAGAGAAGATAATAGGAGAGAAGAGAAGACAGGAGAAAAAGGGAGAAGAGAAGAAGACAAGAGAGAGGAGACAGAAGAGAAGAGAAGAGGACAGATGAGAAGAGAAGCGAAGAAGAGAGAAGAGGACAGAGGAGAAGAAGAGAAGAGGACAGTAGAGAAAAAAAGATAATAGGAGAGAAGAGAAGACTGGAGAAAAGATGAGAAGAGAAGAGAAGAAAAGAGGAGAAGAGAGAGGAGGACAGAGGAGAAGAGAAGAGAAGATAAGAGAAGAGGAGAAGAGAGAGGAGGACAGAAGAGAAGAGAAGAGAAGAGAAGAGAAGAGAAGAGAAGAGAAGAGAAGAGAAGAGAAGAGGACAGACATTTTAGTCCAAACTCTTCTCAAAACTATCCTAAAACATCATGCAGCATATTGATAATCACTTTAAGGACTGTGAGGGAGCTTTTAGAGGTGGACGTCTGGTTCCTATCACCACCACTGTGAACAGTTCTGACTTTGTTTATATTGTAAATGTTTAATCATGAAGAATTTTGAAAAATGTATAAAAATGCTAAAACAACAACAATAACAATAATGATGAAGATGAGCAGCGAGCTCAGTAAGTAAAGTCTAGTTACCAGTCTGCCGGCCTCGTTGTTATGGAGATCGATGAGTGTGCGGATGTCGCTCTTGCCCTTCCTGCGCTTGGCGTCCATGAACTGTTTGGATTTCTCATAGCCGAACTCGACGTCGTCCCCACAGCCGCCCCACTCCCACTTCACTCCCTCAGTGTGGGGTACTCCGGGGGGCCGGGGTGGGGGGGCCCGACTGCGGGTCGATTCACAGCCGCACTGCAGCAGCTCCCCCATACTGCAGGCCTGAGTGACCGCATGAGTGACCCCTGCCGCCGTGATGGCATAGACAAACGCCGTCTCACGGATATCTGTCACAACACACACATATACATGCATTTACACACTCGGCTATAAGAAGAGGACAGAGGAGAAGAGATATGAAAGGAAGAGAGGGGTAGGGAAGAGGACAGAGGAGAGAAGAGGTCAGAAGAGAAGAGAAGGGATTAGACAACAGAAGAGACGAGAAAAAGAGAAGAAATGAGAAAGAAAAGAGGACAGAAGAGAAGAGGAGGGAAGAGGACAAAGGAGAAGACAAAAGAGAAGAGAGAAGAAGAGATGTGGAGAGAAGAGGAGAGAAGAGAAAACAGAAAAAGAAAATAGAAGAAAAAAGAAGAGGATAAAGAAGAGAAGAGAAGAGAAAAGAAGAGAAGAGAAGAGGACAAAGGAGAAAAGAAGAGAATAACAGAGTTTAGAGGAGAAGAGAAGAGAAAAGAAGAGAGAAGAGGACAGAGGAGAAAATAATAGAAGAGAAGAGAACAGAAGAGGAGAAAAGAGGATAGAGGAAAAGAGAAGAGAAAAGAAGAGAAGAAGAGAGAAGAGAAGAGAAAAGAAGTGAAGACAGAAGAGAAAAGAAGAGAAAAGAATAGGGGAGAAGAGAGGAAGACAGAAGAGAGGAGAAGAGAAGGGAGGAAAAAAGAAGAGAAAACTACAGAGGAGAAAAAAAAGAGGACAGAGGAGAAGAAAGGAAAAGAGATGAGAGGAGAAGAGAACAGAAAATAAGAGGACAGAGGAGAAAAGAAGAGAATAGGAGAGATGAGAATAAAACAGAGGAGAAAAGAAGATGACAGAAGAGGAGAGAAGAGAAGAGAAGAGGACAGAAGAGAAGAGAAGAGGACAGAAGAAAAGAGAGGAGAAGAGAAGAGAAGAGAAGAGAAGAGAAGAGAAGAGAAGATGACTGAAGGTCTTTAGCTGATGAGGCTGAGTTGCTGAGCTGTATAGTGTGAGTGAGTGTGGATTGTTCAGCTCTGTATCAGACCAGTCAGTGAATGGGATTCATTAACAGCAGTGAAATGGAATCAGTGCCGTGCAAGAGGTTACACACCAGGATACACACATACGCACACACGGACACACACGCACACACACGCCCACACACACACACACTTGCGTGCATGCACAGATATTAAATCCAGCTGTCCGTCCACACACCCATCTCCATGCTGAGCTCTCTGTGAAGATGTATAGTGGGCTCCAGCACTCTGAGTGAAAATGCTTGTATTTTGAATTCTTTTCTGATTTAATACAAAGTTTTTCATTACAGACGACATCACCAGCATAACAATCTGAGTGAAAAGTAAAATCTTTGAAATATTTACATGAATTTCAGAATTATTTCTGGTATGTCCACCCTTAGCTTTAATGAGAGCTTGGACTCAAGCTGAACTACACTAGTTTGTGTAAAAGCATCTGATGGGTAGATCAAATCCACCTGAGAGTCGTCTGAACACGAGCTTCAGTGGAAGAGATAAGACTCAAAACCAATCTGACTTTGTTTACAAAGGACTTGACACGGTCAATATTTTTCTCTTTTTACAGTAGCCACGTTTCTGCCTGTCATTAAGGGGAATCTACTTCAGAACTACAGACGTGAACTGGATTTAAATTAATATTAATAAGCAAATTAATATTTATAAAAGTATTAAATGCTTTTTTATTTTTTTGTTGTTGCAGTTGTACACTACACACTTTATTTGGACAGTCCACTGTAGATGTTTTGTAGAGGCTCAGTCAATATTTCATTACAATTCAAGTAAATATCTATTAAATGCAACTGAACTTGAAGTTGAGTGTGAAAGGTTTTATGAATCTATCCCTAACCCTAACCCTAACCCTAACCTCAAGGCAAAACCTTCACCTACTCCTAGATGTAACCCTAATCATAATGCTGTTGATAATCAACTATCACCAGAAAGTTTGTTAATAACATTAATATCTGTAGATCATCTCTATGGGACCATCCAAATAAAGTGTGACTGGATTAACTGATGTGAAGAAAGCTGCATTTGTAGATCTCACTGCCCCCCATTCGCACCTTATTGCTCACTAGCAGCTCAACACAGAGTCACAACACATTTCACACAGGTCTGAGTGGATCAGACACAGCAGTGCTGCTGGAGTTTTTAAACACCTCAGTGTCGCTGCTGGACTGAGAATAGTCCACCAACCAAAAACATCCAGCCAACAGCATCCTGTGGGCAGCATCCTGTGACCACTGATGAAGGACTAGAGGATGACCAACACAAACTGTGCAGCAGCAGATGAGCTATCGTCTCTGACTTTACATCTACAAGGTGGACTGACAAGGTAGGAGTGTCTAATAGAGTGGACAGTGAGTGTTTAAAACTCCAGCAGCACTGCTGTGTCTGATCCACTCAGACCAGCACAACACACACTAACACACCACCACCACGTTAGTGTTACTGCAGTGCTGAGAATGATCCACCACCCAAATAGTACCTGCTCTGTGAGGGTCCATGGGGGTCCTGACCACTGAAGAACAGGGTAAAAGGGGGCTAACAAAGTATGCAGAGAAACAGATGGACTACAGTCTGTAACTGTAGAACTACAGAGTGCACCTATATAGTAAGTGGAGCTGATAAAATGGACAATGAGTGTAGAAACAAGGAGGTGGTCAGAATGTTATGCCTGATTGGTGTATGTCTGCTTTTTTTAAAGTCCGCACCAAAGTTTGTTTATTCGTAATACTGTAATCTTTTTTATTTGGTTTAAAATTGTACTGGGTAAAGTGCACCAAACAATTAATATAGGGTGATTTTTGATTCGTTAGAAATTTTGGATGGGGGAGGCATGTCTGTGTTCTCATATTTGCCTGTATTTGGGCCAAACACAACTTCATCTTATCATAATACAAAATCCAGATCCATCCCTCACATATATTTATATTTTAAATCTCACCTTGATAAAATGTATTACCACAATATATTATATGTATTGTTCACAGTGGTGGTGATAGGAACTAGACATCCACCTCTAAAAGCTCCCTCACAGAAAGTTATTGTATGAAATGGTTTCAAATACATTGAGTGTGTTTACATGCAGTCAATAATCCAATCATAATCAGATTTCTGCAGTTATCTGATTATTCAAATGGCCATGTCAACAGTGCACTCTGATTTCTTAGATCGGAGTAATAACTAGAAACCTGATTAAGAAATCTGATAAAGAGGCTGGATTTTAGCTCAGTAATCAGATTTCTCAGTGCATGTGAACTCTTACTCTGATTTCTTTCGCATTTCTCAGTCTGAGCATGTGTAAAAACAGACAGTGGTACCAGAAATAAGCGAGCAGCGTCGCCGCGAGACGCAGCAGAACACTTTTGGAGCAACGCTGAGACCAAATAAATGCTTGACAAAATGAAAGATTTAAATATTCTTCATCTTCTAAATGATGTATGTTCATGTTTTCAGATAAAGTGGCGAAGCAGCGTCATGAAGTTTGAGTTTCACACTACGTTTACATCACGTCTTCTTCTGTGAGTTTATTGGCTGGTTGTAAAGCAGAAATTTGATTACTCTCTGACTCCTGTAGACTCAGAGTTTCCCCATTATCTGATTACTGAGGTGTATGTAAATGCGTTGATCAGATTACTGTCCAAATCTGATTTTCTGCAGTTATCAGATTTTTAAGTTGTTTCATGATTTTGAGAACTTTTTCATGCAAGTCCTCAAAGATTTTGCAGTTTTACCATCATTAATGTTCCATATTGGAGGAATGTACTGCTGTGTGATGTGTTTAGTGCTGTGCTGTGTCATTATATTCAGTATTGAGTGTGTTGTACCTAGAACATTCTGCTCTGCCTATTTTCGTCTATCCCTACATGATCATGTCACACCTGTCACTTGTCATGTAGTGACTGAGCCTAATCTTGGCATCAGTCCAGCTTATAAAATTGTGGCCGTCCACTGTTCAATGGGCCAGCTAAATGTCAGGTACCTGCCCACAAGAAATTAATTCCCCAGACATACGGCTGCTGCGGCCTGGCAGGTTTGGATTCTGTAATATATAAACTCAGAAGACTTGTGTAGGTTCACTGGTGGTTTTGGATAGTAAATAAAATGTCTATATTTGTGTTGTAGTCATGGCGACCCCTGATTCCCATCACCACCACTGTAAAGAAATCTGATTCTGTACCATCAATCATTTTTCACCAAACCACTCTGTTTACATCTCAACCACTGAATTATGCGGAATTTTTAAAAGCTCAGTGGTATTCCCCTTCAATTCAAATTTTGAAAGGTGGTGAAGTGTCCCCAAACCCCAATAAACTCCCAATAAAACCACAGGCCGTTTCCTGGTGTCCTGCAGCGATGACTTACAGCTGCCCAGTAACACAGTGTACTGCAGGGGGGCCCAATCCTGGTCCTGGAGATCTACCACACTGTAGAGTTTAGCTCTGACCCTAATTTAACACACCTGATCCAGGTAATGAAGGCCTTCAGAGGCACCTGAATTAGAGCCAGGTGTGTTGGATCTGAACTCTCCAGGGTGGTAGATCTCCAGGACCAGGACTGAGGTAGATCTCCACCCCTGCTCCACCCAAATAATGAGCTTCAGCATCTCGATCCTCTCTGTGTTATTAACCAGCACAGGAGGATTCAGCGCTAATCTGAGTGTGCAGCTCGGTTCTCTAAAACATTACAGTCTCTCCTCTGTTTCTACAATGACTGAGAAGAAGCTCTTTGTTTTTTTACTCAGTAAATGATGCGCTGATCCAGGCTGAGCTCAGACCCCTCCATCAGTGGGATTCACACCTATCCCCTCTGAGCCGCAGATAAGACGCAGAAACAGAGTGACAATTCTCCAAATTTTACCGCCCCCTTTTTTTATTATTAATTTTCCTCTGAGACACAAATTCCATACAAATTTGTCCGGAAGTGTGTGCCTGGGCATGTCGAGCAGAGAGCGCGCTCAGTCAGGAGGGGCTTCTGCCAGAATTAACAAATATTTTTATAGTCAATGCTGCATGTGACTGTGAGTTCAAAGGGGGCAGATCAGTGCAGGTGTGTGT